TCGAAAACGAAGCAGATGGTGTGCGGATCCCACAAACGCAGAATCAGACAAACTACGAAACAAAAATATTTATTTATAGAAAAGCGAAGGATCGACAAAGTATGAACATAAATCACTGGCGACAAAGAGCCAGAAAAACCTATTGTGAACATAAAGCAAAAGGCTGTCATGATCCTGTTCTTGTGTCTCCCCAACGGGTGGCAGAGGAGGGCCTTCCCTCCAGCGTGCACACCTGCCGCCAATTTGGCCATCAAATTAGTCAAGTATTTAAGGACTGCCAAGATCCCACATCTCTGTCGGATTATTGATCTCATTGCTGCTCTTGCTCAAGTGTTGTTTTCTAGACTCAATCTCGTCATTTTTTTGCTCTCGAGTTTCTCACCTTGTATTTGTTCCTTTGTCTTTGATCTTGCGCGTGTTTTTGTTTTGTGAAATTCTAATAAATAAACATGGTGGCATCACAAAAGCCAACACAAAAAGTCTCGGAGCAAAGGGAAAAGAAATTGGATAATAGGATTTTTTGAGGGCGGAACGGGGTGGGGGGAGTGAAGTGTTTAATGTAAGGCCACATCACCGTGTTCTACTGCTCAAAACCATAATCGGGAAATTCAGGCTTTTTGTATCAAGTGTACAAGTGGGAATAACACTGTGCACACTCTGAGATCTCACAATGAATTATTGGGTGTGTTGGCTTGCGCACACGCTGTTTTATCGACCCATTACTCAGCTCCAATGGGAGTGTATTTCACTCAGACATTCAAACTGACATTCATTGCTTTTCTTAACATTACGAGAAAAACACACACACACACACACACACACATGAGTCAACATCATGTTTCCTGCAAAATGGATTTATCATTTTCATTTTGTCACAAATAGACATGTCCAGCCAATTTCATTTCAATCTATGAAATTGGTGTCCGGCTGTAATTTTTTATTTTTTTTGACTTTTCACACACCTTTTTTTTTCTTCTTTTTTTAGGACTAATCCTCCAAAAGATCACCCAACTTTGCTATGCTCCACCCACATTAATAAATGAACACCTTTCTGACTAGTCGTGAAAATGAGACACTATTCATTGCATCATTTTTGGTTTATTTTCGCAAGTGGTCATAATATTGTGGTGTGTTGTATACGGATATATGCCATGCAGCTTCACGTAAGCAAGTGGTGTGAGGCTGATTCAGGGTGATGGGGGGGTTGACATTACATAACAAGAGCACACACACACACACACAAACACACACACAATACCAATGCGGCCCATTTAAAGCATGGCGCCACAAGAAGATAAAAAGGTCGAAAGGGTAAAAAGCTAATATGAGACCCCCCCCCCTCCACTCTTTCTTTTCCTTGTGACATATGATCAATAAACGTTCTGCGTGCCTTTTAGGACATTACGACCACAAGGGGGCAGCCACAAGCTATTATTCGCCTCCTACACGGTGTAGTTGAGCTCTCGCTCGATTAGAACGCACGTTGGCAATTATCGATTGCTCGTAACAATCTTAATAAAAGCCATTTCTATTGTTATCGAGAAGCAAAACCACTATCCAGTACTTAAAATGTCAGCCCCGTGGATTTGCGTATAGGAACAACAAAAAAAAAGGATGCGTTGCTTTCTAGGAGGAGTCAGGAATCAATTTTCCACACACTATTATCAGTTGTTCGTATTTACATTGTTTGGGCGTGCGAGGGGGATGAGGTGGGAACTAAATAAATGTCCTACCTTGTATTCTTTAGACTGCTTCGTGTGTCATAAAAGAAGATTGAGCGTCATTTGTCCCCACAGCCATTTCTCCTGCATCTTCAACCCCTCGGACTGGAGTGGAACGCGCGTCTGAGAGGCGGTGGGGGTTGGTGCGGCATCGAGACGAACGCTGGTTGCGCGCTCTCGACGCTCCTCTCCTTCCCAAACGTGGCGCTCTTCAGGGATGATGAAGAGGACGGGGATGAAGCTGAGGGTCTGCTGCTGGTGATGCTGAAGATGAAGATGGAAAAGAGGAGGGGAAGGGCCCAGGGAGGAGGGGGGGGGTGCTTGGCGTTCCTTTTCCTATTTCTTCAGCCGCTCC